CATAATACCAAGGCAGGACCCCTGCGGAAAACAATGTTCAGTCGCGAAGAAAGACGAACGAGATTACGCCTGTTGAAAGGCCGTGTAAAAGAGAAAGGGGTACTCCTGCGCGGAAAAACGTCATTCAGTCGCGCGTTGTAAAGGCCAGCTTGCACTGTTCCGACGTCATTCCGCGGGGGCTGAAAAATCGGAAAGATTTGTTTTTGTGCTGTGATGGTGTGTGTGTGTGTGTGTGTGTGTGTGTGAAGGAGAGAGATTATATTATATAATGCAACCATATTATGTTCATTCAAGTAAGTTCATAGAACAAATGCATATTGAGTTGTATATGGTCAGTTAAATGCAACGGCGTATTATTTTACAGTTTAAAATTACATTTTTTAAACATTTTTTTTTGTTTTCAGAATAGCCACCCGTCGAGAGGAACCATGACCAGTTGAACATACGGAAGAAAACAGGAAACTAGTCAATCAGCTAAATGCAAAGCTGCTGTATTTGGACTTTTTTGTGAATTTTAAGTTCAACAATAAGTGGTCACAATAAAGGTTGTAGTAAATGCGCTGTATTTACTGCATCGTCAAAGCTCAGAATTTATTTTCTTTGTCGTTGTTAGAAATCGTTTGAATGCTTAGTACGTTTATTACACCGATGGGCAATGCACTAAAATTTAGAGTTTCTAAAATTAATTTCATAAACATGAATGAAAAAGTATACTTATCAAGTTCGCTTAATTGAAATCAAAAGCACTAACTTAAGTTATAGTAATGATTGCGTAATTTTGCGCACAGGTTAGTCATATAAATAAATAAATAAATAAATAAATAAATAAATAAATAAATAAATAAATACGGTTATTACATATTATACCAAGAAATAATGCAAGGTGATAATTCTTTGAAAATGACATTACAAGAAACGAAAAAAGTTTCTAGTGCAAATTATATGTACGTGCTGTCGAACACTGACAAAAAGTTTGCAGATGTTTTCTTCTGGCTTTTTTCACATTCTCTCATTAATATAAAATCATATAAGCCAAAAGCAATACAAATATTATGCCTTTTGTTTTCCTTGGTACACGTACATGTAACTAAGTTGGTGTATGTTTTCATGAACTTCCTAAGTGACGTTTTTGCTCCAATTCCTCCACCGCACTGCTCTTCTGATACACGTTTTCCACGAGGTCTACAAGACAATGTCGCCACCTCTAGGCCGTACATCCCTTTGAACCGCCTTTGTACCTCGCCCCCTTCACTTTATCCATTAAATTTTTGGTGTCGGTCTTCAATTTTGCCATATAAGGACATAGGAATTCGTACTGGGTGTATTTAAGATACATCTGTGATGAAAAGCCCGAAACCTCCATTGATTCATGAATTTAAGAACAGTTTTTAAATCATAAACATATGTATGTGGTTTGCTCTAATTCAAGGAACAACGAAAGATATACACGTAGCCCCTTTTCAACGAGGCGTTCAATCTGAGCAGAAAACCAGCACATGTGCTGTTTGTTATAGTATATGTAAATAGCAATATACAGACTTGACATTGAATATGGAATATTTCAAAGATAAACCTGGGTAAAAATGCATTATATTTTTTCGAAAACACCCGATCTCTTATAAGATATGCATTGTTCTGTCAAAAAATTATCCGTATGTCGGCAACTACTGCATAGAAGAATTTGAATTTCAGCTACAAGAGATCGGATTTGCAGTGCGTAAAATGAGCTAAGCAGTGCTTTACAAAATTGTTGATCTGTAGCAGAATTTTGCGCAAAGGCAAACATTGGCAGACAGATTGTTGCTCCAAAAGGAACAGTCTGCACAGTTTAACAGAGTAATGTCCAGACTGGTGTACCTACACAGAGGCTACGGCCAATTTATCAAAATCTAACCACAAGGATACAGGAACCACTGTTTTTCGGGATATGCTGCTGCAACTAACCAAATACCACCCAGTCCGTTCATGAGGGGTAAATTGCCACCAAAACGCGTTTTTCAAGGACGTTAGCGGACACTAAACTGCTTTTAACAGGTTACTGGTTTTAACAAGTTAGAATACCAGGCGACCTCCGAGGAACCCACTGTAAACAGTAAAACACTGTCATCTGTTTCTCTAATGAATTGGAGACCATGACCGTTTCTGGGTAGAGCACTGAAACCACGTACGAGGCTTACTTTACTGAGGTCAGATTTCACCTGTACTACTCAACTAGCCAAAATAGAGTTTACAAACACCCAGAAGAAGCTTACGACGAAGCGTGTGCCGCGTCTAAAGTGACCAAAGTCATTGACAACATCAGTATTTGGAGTTGATACCACATTGGTGCCAAAACACCTATGGTAGTCATCGGCATGAACCTGAATTAGATCAAATAAAGGAATAATCTGGGAACCACTTGACTATCATTGTCTCCACTAAGCCATATTTCACACAACCCTCACATCTTTGTGCATGTAACAGTTATAGCGTGCCCATAAAGCAGCATCTAAAATGATCGTCCTTAGAGACGCTTCCATGTGTTTCAAAACGAGTGTCTTTACACCGCCCTGTATTTAATGCTACATAAACAAACCAATTAAATATAGACGATAATTATCCTTCTGCACGACGCTTGGAAACTGAATTAAGACACGCAATGGCCGTTAAACCTTATTTTTATATTAGGAAACTAATTTTACTGGAAATTTCAGAACTTTTCCATAAATCCCAGACTTTTTATCATGTTTTGTAGAATCAGGCAATATAATATTTATTAGTTGAAAACGGGTTCATAAATTATGAAGTCACATTGGTGATCGTTTTAAGGCATATCTGCTGAAATTACCATTGAGATTAATCTTCAGTTTTATAATTGTTAAACATGCGCCACTTGTCTTTGACATTTAGAAACTTAATTGTTTACATACCACCTCAGATGCGGAGCACAATAATGTAATGAGGACAGATGGTTAGCGCCTCTAGCGGGCGTTAATTAACTGTTTATAAAGAAAATAAATTGACTAATTTCCATTGAATTTGTAATTTTTTTTATCATGTACGTGGTAGATTTATTTGCTAGAAAGTGTCATCTTCCTCGCCAATCAACAGTAAATGTTGTACAACAATAACAAAGGGTTGACTTTATTTTCGAATTTGTTCCGTGTGCATTCAAAATAGAAGAAAGCATGTACACTTAAAAAGAAGTGATATATGTATATATGCGTGTGTGTGTGTGTGTGTGTGTGTGTGTGTGTGTGATGGTGGACTGCTGGTACACTTTGGACAAGCAGGTAATATCTGTCGGTAGAAGACGCTTTAACAAATGGTCATTGCTTTATTACGTTGAGTTGTGTAATAATGATAAAGGAAATGTTTGAAACAAAATATCTTGTTGGGACAATATCTCATGTCGACGTTATTCTGTATATTTCCTTGTTGAAGACTGATAATTTTGCTCAATAACAGAGATAATTCAAATGGAAAACTGGAGTGAATTATCTAAATTTTGAAAGTTTTAGATATTTTTTACAAATTCTGTGAATATTCTCGCTTTTCTCACGATCTGGTTTTCTCAATATCCAGAGGTAGATTTTCAATAAGATGAGAAATAAGATATAGTGAAAATTAAATTCCAAAATTATAAATTATGAGTAAAATAAAATGAAAGCTAAAAACAACAATAATTAAATTAAAATAATCTTAAATTAGTTTAAGGTAAATGCACAGTTCTTTGAAGATGTTGTACGAAAGATGTGAATACGTCTGGTCTATTACAAATGCATCTTTGCTTGCCTTTATCTTATTAGTTCGATATCAGATAGTAAGATTTAATTAAAATAATGAAACTATGCAAATTGAATTAAGTTGAGGTTATCACTTGTATGTAAAACAAATTGGAATTTTACCACGACAAAAAGGGTAATGGTGACAAAATTGTTTAGGTTGAAAAATGAGAGAGCGCTTCTGCTTTTAGACGTTGCTTTGACAAATGATAATGATTTTGTTGCATAACACCGTGAACAGTCGAGGAAAAGTTGGAAACAGAATATACCTTGCTGGGACCATATTTCATGACATTATTATTCTGTGTTTCCTTGCTGAAGATTGATAGGGATTTGCTTGCACAGAAACGTATAAATAGCGGCTTGGGCTGGAAATCTCATCGTAGAGAACTGATCCAGTCTCCTGCTACGACAACTTCCATTGGAACAATGAAATCGTGCGCTCTTCTTGTGCTCTTGGTGCTCTTTGTTGCTGTTGTCATAGAAGGTGAGAGACACAAAGTATTTAATTAAAAGTATTTAATAATGACTTGAAGTGTAAAATCTGAAGCGAAGAAAAGGGGTACGTCAGAACTGAGATCGTAATCTAGGCAGACGTTATCTCCGCTAGGGGGAAATTTAATCTTAAATGTTACATTAGTATGTCCTAATTTGACCAAAAGAGTTCGTGATCAAAATCACACCCAATAAGATATACATAAATTACAGCATCCAACTAAATAAAGTGCAGTGTTCAGTAATTCAAATTAGCAGATAGTGAGTGCTTACTGACAGTGGTATTTTGCATCCCTTTGAAACACAAAGTGAAACGTATAATTCTGCCTTAATTTGTATTTCCATAAATTATCTTGACACTGTCAAGATAGAAAATATCTCAATATATATGCAAAACCATTTTAGTATCTTCTATGAGGAATGTCTGTTCTTTTATTTTCACTCTCAAAAATAAGCTTAAACAGCCAAAAAGATTATTTGTCACTACCGACAAATACCGGTAAGAAATTGAATGGAATGGAGACCAGAAAAATGTATTTGGAGTTCACAAAGGCATGGATAGTGCCACGCATTACCCACTCCTCAGCAAATTTGGAAAGAACGCAAATTTTAAGTTCCACTATGTTGCTTTCCTTCATTAACATTTGAATTGAGAAATTACGCTTAAAATAAATGCATATGGACTTTCAGTAACACTTTTATATTTTGCATTTTTTATTTTGATATTAGACACAGCCGGACAAGGTATAGCGCGTGCTACATGCACCTGCTGTGGCCAGATATGTCATACCGACAGTGGGACTTGCACGTGCGGCGGAGTTGCACCCAACTGCTACTGTATTGCAATTGATTACACAACAAGGTAAACGGTGTTGTGATGAAATTGTTCATAGCAGTATTTTCACAAATACATTTTTAGACCAGATACTTGTTACACTTAAAAAATGTTGATTTTTAGTAAATTCAGCAAGTCAATTTGGTAATAATATTGTGAGAAATTATGAGAATGAATTAATGGCTGATAAAAGCACCACCACAGATAACCTTTTTAATAACTAATACATTTTGCCCAAAGTTAGTAGTTTATAGACCAAAAAAAGAACAAGATACACGGTCTTTTAAATCATTTAGAGAGAGAGAGAGAAAGGGCGGGATGGATGGGGAGGGCTGTATGTTATATACTCTGGTACTCATATGTGGTGTTTATCTCCTTCCACTTTTGTGAATTAATGTAATGCAAACTATTGGTTTCATTAATGTGCATTCAAATAAGTATATAGAAAAATTTGGTTTCAAACTAATGTGCATTCAAATAAGTATATAGAAAAAATGAATATCGTGTTGTAAATAACCAGTTAGAGATCATTCCCAGATGTTATCGTACTAACTTTGGATCAACCTATCAACTTAGGCGGCTTAGGTGTCTCACATGCCCACTGGAGCTGTTAGAGGGTAATTTATTATCGTTTAGCGGCTTCAGTAGGCGTGCCAGACAGAAGGCGTTTAAGCTAAGCGCAATTCAGCGACAAAACCCTTGGAGATGGATCGATCCGGTTAGATTGATCTAGGCATGGGAACCCAGTCCTAAATACAATATTTAACGGTATACATTAATGTTTTTTTTTGTTGTTTTCAGAGGACCCCCTTCTCCAGCGACTCCATGACCAGTGAACATACGGAAGAAAACAGGAAACTTCTCACTCAGCTAAATGTAAAGCTGCTGTATTTGGACTTTTTTGTGAATTTTGAGTTCAACAATAAATGGTCATAATAAAGAATGTAGTAAATACGCTGTATTTACTGCATTGCCAAAGCTCTAATTTTACTGCCTTTGTCGTTGTTGGAAATCGATTGAATGCTTAATATGTGTATTAAGCCAATGGGTCATTAGCATTAATATTAGAGGCTCTATAATTTATTTCGTAAAAATGGATGAAAAAGTAAATTCATCAAGTTCGCTTTATTAAAACGGAATGCATATATATTACCTTCAGATGTAGTTATGGTGGGGCAATTTTGTGCACAGGTTAGTCATATCAAATTTTTTGGGGCCATTGTTTTGATATATATTAAAAATGTATTTATGTATCATTAAAACAATGGCTACTGGCTCCGCAGAAAAAAATAAATAAAAACATATTTTTTCATAACAATTACCGTTTGCCGAAAGGCATAACTTTAATGACCAAAGCTAAAATAGCGAGACAAATGTTTTTTTTTTTTTTTTTTTTTTTAAGAGAGAGAGAGAGAGCCATGGTGTGCATGCGTGCGTGTGTTCGAGTGATAAATAAATAATTAGCCTACGATACACTTACTTAATGAAATTATAATCGCCAATATTTGCTAGGACCAAAAGATGTGAAGTATTTTCGATGACATTTTTTTAAACAATTTGTGTTACTGAAATAAGGGAGATATCTTGCTTATATAAGTGACATAAGATATCACCCGGAATTCTGACAAAACTATAATAATAATATTAAAATATATGAAGCATATTTATCATATTTAGTAGTCTGATTCTTCATATATAGGTGCATATTTATAAGATAATTTGATGCAAATGACACTTGAAGAAACGGACTCTTTAATGGCCTCTCCGCCTCTCACACGGCTCCCCACGCGTCGTCCCTCGACCGGTTGAATTGAGAAGAGATTTAATTAGTGTGCCCCTGCAGAGACGACGCACGGGGAGGCATGTGAGAGGCGGAAAGACAATTAAAGGGTTACGCGGTTTTCCTTTCATGTAGGTCCGACATATTTATGTCTAGTCCTTGCTAGACCTCGGCTCTTCTCGATGTAAATGCTCTCTATTTGACCCAAATCCTGTAAAATTCAGTTTAGAATTCAGGTCTACCTAAAAAAAGAAATCATTGTTCTGAACTATTAGCAATGTCATTTTGTGACAACAACGATGCAAGCATTCATAAAATGGAATTCTATTTATATACCAGACAAAATGTTCCGTTAATTAATGAATAAAGGAATATTAAAAAAGGGAAAAGCACTCTTAAAATGCAAACCTCACATCTTCCCCCATAATTGGACTCAGTTGCCATGAGTCATGTTAAATATGACATCTAGAATAAAATCGCTGGTGAAAATGGTGAAAATGGTGAACAGATGTGAGATGATCGTTTGTAAACAAACACATGGGATTTAGGGTGATTAAATTTGTACACACACAATACAAAATGTTTTGCATTATTTTATTTTTACTGGCATTTTGTCATACACCTACCGAAAATCGAGGACAGTAGCACTGCATGGAGCGTTATGATTCCTTCAACACGTGCTGCTGTTATAAGCAGTTGGAATGATTTGTGATTTTCTGATTCTTCATATATAGGTGCATATTTATTTTTATCTGTGTTCTTGCTTCTGCATTAAATTTGATAAACTGATTCACATACCAACAGACTGGTTTATCATCGTCGTAAAAGACACAGGGGCTTCCATTGTTACATTGTAGAAGAGGCGGATCCAGAGATATTTTCTGAAAGTCTTCTTAATTATTTTTGTTGGTCCATCCTACATTTTTGACCGTCTACTGACAGAAAGATAGATACCCGTCAATCTAAACTTGAAAATCTGACCTTTTTTCCGAAAGACCAAGAAGACTGACTAAATCCGCCCCTGTTTTACGTATTAGCTTCCCCCTAACCAAGGATTTCTCTTCTAACTACATATGATATCAAGAAATAAGGGATGGAATGATTTGTGCTCCGCTCTGCGTATTAAAAGTTTGCCTCAATTTCACTGCCACTGAATTTGGCCGCCTCCTGTTTTTGGCGACGCCTACAAGAACGTGTTGCAACCACTAGGCCGTATTGCCCACGACTCTTATAACCGTTGACACCTTTGTGCATGTTACAGCTATAACATGCCCATAAAGCACGATCTAAAAGGATATTTCTGCGAGACGTTTCCAGTTGTTTCAAAATAAGTGTCTTTACAACACGATGCATGTAATGCTATTTAAGCACATAATGCTTAAAGAGACAATTTGCCTTTTGCACGACGTTTCGTATCTGATTTAGGTAGCAAAATAAACGTTAAACCTTAGTCTATACATATATGTAAAATAAAAATTCGAAATTTACAGTAAATATTGTTCTTATAAATAAAATAAAAATTCGAAATTTACAGTAAATATTGTTCTTATAAGAACAATATTTACTGTAAATTTCGAATTTTTATTTTATTTTGTAAATGGAAAAAAATACTGTAAATTTCAAACCTTGTCTATAAATTCCAAATTTATTTATATTTTGTAATTGGAATGTGGAAATATGAATATTTATAAGTTGAAAACGTGTTCACAAATTGTGACGTTGTCACGTTGGTGATCGATTCAAGGCATTTCTGCTGACATTTCCAAGGAAAGTGAACTTAGGCTTTATAATGGTCTAACGAATTACTTTTCTTTGAAATTTTGAAACTAAATTGCCTATATTCCATCTCGGATGCGGAGCACAATACTGTAATGAGGACAGATAGCATCTCTATAGCAGGCGTTAATTAACTGTCTGTAAACAAAAAAATTACTAATTTCGATTGAATTTGCAATTTTGTTTATCATGTACGTGGTAGATTCATTTGTTAGAAAGCAACATCCTCCTCCAACAGCAGATGTTTTAGAATAGTAAAATGATTATTGTGTGCCATTGACGGTTTTACTACAACGAAAAAAACGGGTCGACTTTTTATTTTCAAAATTGTCCCGTGTCTATTAAAAAATAAAGGAAGCATGTACACTTGTAGAAAAAAAAATAAAATAAAATAAAATAAAATAAAAAAAAATAAATGTGCTGGTAGATTGCATTAAAGAGGAAGGGCTTTGAAGAAACTAGTGATACTTGTCACTAAAAGACGCTTTAACAAATGGTTATTGTTTTATTACGTTGAGTTGTGTAATAATGATTAAGGAAATGTTTGAAAAGAAAATACCTTGCTAGGACCATATCTCATGTCGACGTTATTCTGTATGTTTCCTTGTTGAAGACTGATATTTTTTTTTTATTGACACAATACTTCACAAATACAGCATATATGTAGTACAAAAAAGAAAACTACAGTCACTCCCACTCTCACACTTAAGAGAAAATATACTATGTTATATTATTTAAATTTTTTATGGTACGTTAAACATTCAGGTTGATAAGGAATTGATAACATTTGAAGTGTACCAGAGTGACTTATCTATTTTTATCACAATTTTTTTTTTAATTTTTATTTAAATAAAGGCTCCTGCACACACTCACACATACCCAACCTCACACACACTAGCACGCACACCCTATTTATATACAAACAAATATATACAGATTTATATACATGTATAATTAGAAGTAAACTAATAAGTAATAAAAAGTAAAAAA